CAGGCTCGAGAGGAACACGTTATCTTCTGCACGTTTTCTGACGCCTCCTTTGCATCAACAAAGGACAACAACTCCTACTAAGGGAATCTTGTTATAGTAATCAGTCGGCAGTTGTCATTCCCGTGGCCTGGCCCTCCACGAAGATTACTTGGAGTTTCATGGGACTTAGTAACTATTTATATCTGGGGTTATAACCCTACTTATAATTGGGGTAACCCCTATAAACCCATTTAGGGGGCTTATAATTAGGGTTATAAGCCCGATTATAAGTAGTTCCTAATTCCCATGAACCTCCAAGTAGCGGAGTAGTAAGGAGATGTATCCCTGACAGAATGCGCGGGACCCTGTTGTTCTGGGAGTGGCTGAAGAACCCGGGCATCGACATAGCTAATCCTGAAGAAGTCCTCCAAGGAGGACCTCGAGCATCCCTAGCCACAGGCTGCAAGAGCGCTTACGAAGTAGCCAGCAAAACGGCGGTTCCCAACTGTTCGGAATTACGCACTCAGCTAGAATGTCTTCTACTTCGGGAAAGACTCAGGAGAACTGTAACATGCGCTGGGCTCATAGCAAGGCGACGCTTGCGGACTGTCTTACCAAATCTATGGATAGTTCTGAACTCCGTAGGGTCCTTGGTAATTGGGCGTGTGCTCTATTTGCAGACCAGCGTAATCTGGAAATCAGAGCCGGGGAGAGACAGTCGCTGAGCCGGCTAGCGAACAAAAAGCCATGAAAGGTTTCCAGAATCTTCAAAGCAGAATTTAGAAAATGTCTGAACGTTACTCCAACAGGATTATTTGAAGATTCTTCCCTGTGTGTGGAACAGCTTCAGTGACTGCGGAGGGAGGGCGTGGATCACTTGCGCTGGAAAGAGGACAAGGATCCTTGGGGCTACTGTAGGCAGGGGGCCTGCGCATGGTCATTCACTGTCTTTTGGGAGGACTTCATTGAGGACGTGGCTGTCCAACTTCCAGAGGCCAGGGGCCCTACATTCACACAAAGGGGGTTTTGGGGCTAGCGGCAGGTCCGGGCTACCATTTTCACAATCATAATCATCATTCATCAAAGTCTTTCTGGAACCCAGGTCGCTTACACAATTGCGTAACCATTGACCAAGTAGCAGCCTGGCGCCATTCGCTTCCAACTCCGAGCAAGGCAGACGCGCAGCTGAGGATGGTTTATGTACATCCTAGGCCCAAGCCCCAGAACGGTTCCGGTGCCAGCACGTGTGGCGCTTGCAGCACTGAACTGGTTAGATTCTCCTTAAAAGGGCAATGGAGCGACGGGATGGTCATCTGAAAGGCTTGCGACGCTGCGTCCACAGCGCCGAGAAAAAAAGATAACGCCGCTGTTTGGTGCGTTGATCGGGCGCTTGACCGGCGCGGCAAGACTTCTGGCCATGAATCAGCCTCGGGTAGAGTTTGCGAGTGACTCACATCTTGTCCAGTCTTTGCGACGGCAATGGCTTGGAGGAGTACATTGCAGCCCTGACCAGGCTTCGGGAAGAACGGCAGGACACAACTCTTTGGCTTGGAAACGCTTCACGGCTCATCTCAGGATCGATGGGACGCGATGGATGAGCACCTCCCTCCAGGATGGCAAAGAGACAACAGACAGGACCACGGCAGCTTACAGGGGGAAGATGAGCAGCAAACATGCCTGCAGAGTGGATGCCTGATGCTCTGATAGCAGCTGACGCTCAAGTGGGAGCTGAAGAGGCAGATTCTGCTGCGGCCGCAGCAACGATGACGGGCTGGCTGACGCTGCACTGTTTTTGCTTGTGCACAGGACATGTCTTGCACGAGATAGTCGACCCAAAGTGAATTGGAAACGGGAACGCCGTTGGAAGCAAGTAGTTCACAACTGCTGCATATGCTGTAATGGGCCAGTCAAACACCTAAGTCCGTCCGGGCGCAGGCTAGCCGTCAGCACTATTTCCAAAACAGCGGCTAATCAGAAGCACTCATGGGGCAGGGAGACGGTCTGTTTTGCAGATCAGGTTGACACGTGCCCGTGAGAGCCTGAGGGGCTGCAGCGCGTCCGAGAAAAATGTGAAAAATTCATGACTAAGACTTTTGCCCAGTTGCCTGAAGCTCTTCTATCCAACTAGCCTCAACAATGGCATTAAAACACTTCCAGAAGAGTCTAGGTCGAGTGTGGGTTGTTGTGGCCGTGAAGCACCAGACGCTGACCAGATGATAAGGAGGCTAGCGATCAGATCGGCATTACACTAGCAGTAGCACAGCAGACGCACGCAGCCGTCGACGCGTCGTTTCCACGCACACGTTTACTCTGTGTCTGTATACGCAAGGAACAGGGCACGCCATAGTCCAGCTCGCTGGTTAGGATGCTCGGCTCACCTGAGTATCCCAAGTTGAAAACCTGGCGAAGGGAATCATGAACGAAATCCTTTGTGCCTTGCCGAACTATCTTTTGCACCCGTCTGGCGTACTGGCATTGCTTCCAGTCAACGGACTTAATCTGTTCCCTCATCGCCCTCCGACCCAAGGGACGAAGCTGACATTGGGAGAACCACACGACCAAGTCACAGGGAGACAGAACCTTCAACCGAGGAGTCGACGAAACTCCATCTTACCGGGCAGACAAGGACAAGAGAGGATGGCTACCCATTCTCACAACAGAATCAGCACGTGAAACCTGCGCTATTCTCGAAAGAGATTGAACTACCGCATACCTTACACACCACAGGAAAACGTGGCGCCCCCGTGCATTTATCACCGTTCACGAACAGGAGGCGTATGCTGCCGTGGCTCTGTATCCACGATTTTAACTTGCGCTTATTCAGATAACCCCACACCTCACAACTTTAGCCTGCCAATCGGATCCAGCACCAGGTAGATTTCACATCACGTGTGGATAAACACATCCTGCCCTCTGCGGGCACCATGCGCAGACGACCTTTGGCTAGCTTCTTGCGGAAGTCATGATCAGCAGTAAGTCGATCAGATATCGTCGTCCCCCAAAAAAATAAACAAAGTCAGCCTAACAGGACGCTGGCTGCCATGTTCTTCAAGCTTGCCGCTGCCTGAAAACAAGCACTTCCGAAGCTGCAGCACCCTTTTGCCAACCACGCGGCTCTTAACACCAGAAGCAGCTCGGTCTCGCCAACAGAATAGTTCCGCTCCGAAGCTTCTCGGCAACATGCCACAAGGATTGCAAGACCTGCCAACAACCAACCCACGCCGCAACATCAACTCAACCATTCTGGCCATGCGTCCAGACAGGGAAACACACATCGTCCGCCCCAACCAATTGGAACAGAATGAAATCTGAAATCGCGTCCATTTAGAGACAGTGAACCTGGAGCTGAGACCCGTTCGTGCTTAATGTGATTCATGTCGCCAAAACGAGGGGGAAACGGACATCGGCAATGGAGAACTTGGCATCGATCCCGAACGAGACAGACGCAAGCAGCCTTCGTGGGAGTAGTCGGCCTTGATGCTTCCAAAAGATGTGAACTCCCAGCGCAAGTCTGCCAAATGCCTCGAGGAGCCGCAGTTGACTCACATCAGTCTAACACTCACGTCATCAACGCTCCTCACAATGCCGCGCGTATCCACCGCCGACTTTGTTTGTAGACAGGCCGTCGTATGATCTTGAAGACTGGATACCGATTCGGCTGGACAAGCTCCTTTTTGGAGATCTCCCAACCACAGCTACTTCAGAGTCCTGCTGCATCTGCCCGGCAGCCGTAACGCTACGACGCAAGCAAGCCAAGCAGGTCCACGACTGTGCCCAATCGGGCGTGTCCGAAATTTTATCCAATCAGCTCGGATAGAGCAGAACCATTTGGCGCAAGTCCAGATAAGTGAACGCAAAACCATCTACTTCAACAAATCTTTTCCAAACAGGCCCGGGTTGGACGAGGAACTTTGAATTCCACGCTGAGCACCTCACGCCTGTTCAAAAGAAGCTCTTCACTCGCGCAGGAACCACGAAAGCGTTGTGTTTTGTCGACAAGCCATGCGAACATGTCATTATAGAGTCGAGGTTGCTGGAACGTTCAAAATCGCGTGGCCATTTGAAGCATCCAGATCTTCTCAATGCGGAGTTTTCCTCCAACCAGGTCAGTTTGATGAGGAACTTGTGCGACGTGGATGCTATTGATGTTCTTGGGAAATCCAAGCAATGCTCGCAAGCAATCCAGTACACTACCCCAACGGCCGCCAGGACGCCATCACACACGAAGAAGGCCCCAATTTGCTGCTCGGCCTACAATCCAAGGTTAAATGATACAGTACAAAGTAAACAAGGAGCGAAAACATGTTTGTTTGATTTTGCCTGCGCCAAGTACTAGCTGATGCTCACACAGCGCTCCGAAGAGCGCCGCCGTTATCGTGAACAGTTGTTGCATATGGGAACTGGGATGTTGAGGTTCGACCAAAGATTCCCTGTCTCAGCCAGAAAGGCCAAGCAGAAGGGTTTGCACGCCATCAGCTTGATTTCCAAGCATTGCAAGAGCGCTTGATCTGGACCCTTGATCCATGTGCTCGTGCATCCGGGGCTCTAGCTATGGGCCCCCTAGTTTGCACCAGAGAGCAGCCTCGTGTGTGACACATCATTGTGTCTCCCGTGCATTGAAGCTTCCAGTAATGCTTTCAAGACCGTTCTTCTTATCCAGGTCCATCAGGGTCTTTCTTTAGCCCATTTCAGTGATGCCATGGCACAGATTCGCTGTTAAAACGCAAAAAGCAATGGAAAACTTGTGGAAAACAAACACAACATGTTCAGGACATGCAACAAACCACCACGGGAATTGTGCATCTTCTGGAAAATTGAAACTACGGTAGGATTTTGCATGCGTCTGCGCTCACATGCAAATAAATGCCAGAAGTGGTTTTCATTGCTTTAAACCCCTAAGTGGATCATTCCAATTCTACCTTTCAAAGTGTCCAAGCTTTGGGATATGGACTCGTCTGTTCAAATTCGTTCCGTGCTAGATTACTGTTTGATGGGTGCATCTTAACAACTTCTAGCTGCGCCTCCCGCTCTTCCGACTTGAATTTGCGGATCACATCTACCGCGCGCTTGCTGCCAAGTAGGAGCGGAATTGTGGAATCCTCGTGGCTGGTGCGCAACTCCCACAACAAGAAAATCTCGAACCCAAAGCCTCATCCATCAACCTTTGCAGCTGTGCCCGGCTGATGTCCTGCCACACATGAAGCTACACAGCCCCATCCGGCGCAAGAGAATCTCACCTGCTTCATCACGCTGGGAGGTATGTCATACAGCGCCAGAGGCCTGTCAAAATGTCTAACACTTCGTCTTCTGCATGCAGTACTCGACCGCTGCCCGAAGAGCACAGGCAGTATAGAAGTTCTTGGACACATATAAACCACAAGCAATGTTGCGTCAACAAAAAAGTCCATGTGCCGCCATGCAACTTGTGCTCAGTCGGAGCTGTCATCTGGTCGAACACATCTGATTGCGTGCTGGGCAACATCCAATCCTAAGTCGTGTGCGGCTTATCTCCAAAGCGCAGAGCACACTGCAAACTGCAGGATGCAAATGGCATCCCACCCGCTTGAGCAACCTCTGCCTGGCAACATCCTAGCTTCAGCTACTTGCACATTCACGTTCTAGTGCAAGAGGAGGACCATCATGTACTCTCTCATCAGTTTCAAACGATGCGGAGTGTTCAGCACGCTTGAGAGTGGTGTCTCGTCTGGGTTTTTGACACGTTGAAAATGCGGGGCGCATCTGATTTTTCATGGTGTCGTCCACCTGCATAACATGACTTCAAGAAAGATGATTCAGATCAAGTCAAAATGAATTCAAGGAAGCTTGAGCAGTCCATCTCCACCACAGAAATGTTTTCAACGAGCCTTGCTAGTCGATGAGTAAAACCTTGCTAGTGAATGTTACCTTTTTTCAGGGTTTCCGGGCCGTGTACCCTTGCTGCCCACGGATCTGCGCGCGATGGATACGGCGCAAACCAGTGCTGCCAAAGCTCAGTGACGATGTTGTCTGACTTCTTTGACAACGACCTATCGACATCCTGTCCATCAGCATGCAAAAGCTTCCGCACACATCCACAACGGAACTCCTCCGGAAAAAGATCCATGCCAGCAAAGTTCTGGTCTGCAACGAACTGCATCCTGGAAAGTGCCGCATCAAAGGAGGACTCCGCTTCGACAGGATCCAAAAGTTCAAGAGCAAATAGAATTTCCACAGGTCAGACTGGCCACAGTCATGTCTCCCTGGACCGTCCTGCGCTTTTTCTCCACCCACTTTCGCCGCACAAGGCCGGGCAATAGCTCCAGGGTGATGGAGAGATCCTGCTACGGCTCTCATGATTACGAAACTAGCCGCTAACCTCTGCCGGATACGCCCCAGAACCCGAAGGCCCGAAGGTGCTCGAAGGTGCTGGCCTGGCCTTGGGATTCATGTGCTCCTCTGCTTCGTCTTTCACGAGCGATTGCCCCTTCATCCAATTGTAGTACGTGTGCAGGAATACCTCAGACAGCAACGCGCGAAGCCTTTACCCCTGTCACACCAACATCAAAAAAGCCAAGTCGCTATCATGGGATTTTTTTTGTTCGCCTCCACCGCATAGAGTCTGGAGGCCAAGGAGAACGTGTCTAGGACAATGGCCACAAAGATGTTCAGAAGCACGAAATAAATCAATGCCTCAGGCACATCATAACAAGGTACATCTTGGCATCAATAGGAAGACCTACCGAAGGACAATCCCGCACACAATCACCTCTATCTTTCCAAGCCGAGCAGGCCTACTATCAAGCCACTCAGCCAATGAAGCCTGGGGGCTTTGCATATCGCACAACAACTTCGCTAGTGTTTGCACACAGTGCTTCGCAAAACGCAAAGGAGATGTGTTGAGGGATCAAAGGAAAAACCCTACACAGGGCACTCTCAAATCTCTAGGTCAAACACACCATTACAACAACCAGAAAAAGAAATCAGAAATGGCCACTGTCACGTGCACTCCAACATGCGCATGGTCAAGTGACATTAACGGGCTTGAGCTGACATGAACCAGGCATACCGATTACAGACTTACAATGCAGCGGCTTTATATTGCCTGTCCATTGCCTGACATTGCTTCAAGAACTGTTGGCCAACATCTACAAATCCACACATACACCCGCCTGCACGCATGGAGGCGGAGTCTGACTTATCTCAACTTCAACCATGCTTTACGGAACTTCTAACGGATTGGATTGACACCCCTGCTTGCAAACTCATGTTTCACCATTTTCCAACATCTTGACGCAGGTGTTTTGACACATGCGGCCATCTTTATGTGAATGCAAGCCTGGGATGATGCCAAACTGTTACTAGGACTATTTGGAAGTTGGATTCACCAACGTGTCCTCATGTGTCCTCGAACTCTCAGCAGCAATCTTCGCCAGGTTGGCATAGACCGCTTTGTTGGGCAAGACTCTAGTTTTTTGCAACACTTTCACACGAAAACGTTCCAACAACTCTTAGCTGGGAATCGCGGTGCCCACACACGTTCCAAGCTAGTCCATGACGTTCGCGTGCAAAGAAAATGTCAAACACACAGCACAATCCCGTGACACTTGTTTTTGGAAACCAACATCATCAACAATCCTAAAGTCAAAGAATGTCAGGGCGATGAAACCACGAAAACCCTCAAAATCCATTGCCGTCTCCGGGCTCTTGCATGAAATCTTGAAACAAAATAGCTTAGCAATAAATCGTCGGCAAAAGCCCAGGTCTTGCACATGCTGATGCGTGCATGGAGATTAAACGATTCGCAGTCGCAAGATGCTCACACAAGAGGCCTGAGCACAATCCCCGCAATGCCTCAGCTCATTTTTGCTTTGTTGCGTGAGCCCTGCCCCAGGTAAGCACGGCTGGTGGTTTTTGAGAGAGGCGCTCGGTGATTGTGCTGGGGAACGGGGAATCCTGACAGTTGGCCAGCACTGTTCGCTGTGTGTTGCCTCTGAGGTCTTAGTTCTTTGTGGTTGCTGTACCGGCTTGTGTGCGGGGCATGCGGTGGTTTCTTCCGCCACTACGGCTTTACCACTTACCTCCTTGCCGCTGATGATTTGTTGCTCTGTCTGCTTTGCTGGATGACCCGAAGGACGATTGTAGCGCCGAAGTTGTGGCAGCAACCGTTTCTCTACCACGCTTGCTCGTGCCAGATGCGAATGGCAAGACATGTGGTCACAGCCCTGCAGCCGCCACGCACTCTTCTCCGCATGTCAAGCTTGGACTTCAATCCTCTACGCCAGGCCCAGATTCATTCTGGTTTATGACACATTCAAGAGCTACCTGCGCGCGTGTCATCTCCCTTTCTGTGTGTGCACCTTATCTGCCTAAGGCTCTGATCGTCCTTGCCGCCTTGGACTCTCTTGACAGAAAGCATCATGGCGCGGGAAGGGGGTAGAGTGCGGAAAGTGGCTCGACGCGCTGCAAGAACTTTCAAGCAACCCCCTTCTCGAAGTCCACATGACATGGGGGAACACATCTTTTCCACGGTTTGCGGCCAAACGGCCATTGGGCCGCGTGGCCGTAAACCGGGGCCTGAGTTTCAGATGGTCTAGGGTTCAAGGTTTTTAGGATTTAGGTTTTTCAGCGTTCGGAGTTTCCAGGGTGCAGGGTTGCAAGGGTCAAGGGCTTTTGGGGTTCAGGGTTTCTAGCATTTGGGGTTTAGGGATTTTGGAGTTTAGCGTTTTCGCGGTTTGGGGATTTAGAATGTTGCTTTTCGGGCTTTAAAGGTTTAGGGTGATTAGTGTGCTTAATGTCTTTATGATTTTTAGGTTTAGGGCGTTTAGCACTTCTAGGGTTGTATGCAGGATTTAAACCGTTTTGTTTGAGGGATTCCATGGTTTGAGGCTTGTAGGTTCAAGGGTCTTTCGGGATGGATTTAGGGTCGTGCTTTTTGGGGTTAAGGTTGTTAAGGTTTTCGTTTTTTGGACTTAGGGATCTCTCAGGTTTTATGCGCTTTTGCGGATTGCATGTTTTTAGCGTTAGGGATTTCTAGCCTGGGATTTTCAGGTTTGCCGTTGGTGGTCCTGGAGTAGTTAGCTGAGATTTTTAAGCTTCTTTTGGGTTGGGTTCCGCGGGTTTTGTAGGGTTTGGGGCTTTAGGGTTGTTGGGTGTTTGTATGTTTTTTTCCTACCTATACTCTTTCGGAAATACCGGAAAATTCCAGCGTTGCAGACAGCAGCGGAAACTGGCGGTTCGAAGTGCTGAAAATCTGCATAGCTTGGGAAGGGACTACGTCACACCAACAAGGCCGCGGGTGCCCTCTCATGGGCGGATTTAATGAACTTTATGTTGTCACTGTATCCCGGGAGTATAACACACGAAGTTCGAGGTCACTGAATACTATTAGCTAGCCATTGTTGTTGTGCCGATACGAAAATTTCAGGATGGCACAACAAGCCTGCCCGCTATGACCCACGCTCCTTTTTTTACGGGATTTCAACGAAGCCTTGATTCCTATCGCTGAAAGGTACCGGAAGTAATAACAATCTATAGCTTTAAGGGGTTTGTTTGCCAGTTTGGGGGATTCGAAGCCATGTAATCGAGTAGATACTATATACAACTGTAGTAAAAAATGCGTACCGTAGCTTTGCTGCACACGCGGCTTTTGTATGGTTTAGGGTTTAGGGCTTTTTGGTGCTGTAAAATTAAAATTCACTGCGTTTGGGTTTTTCAAGTAAAGGCTTTTCAAGGTTTAGAGCTTGGGGTGTCTACGGTTTAGAACGTTTTAAATACAGGTTGTCTAGTGTTCAGGGTTTCTGGGCTTGAGGGTTTTTAGGCTTCAGGTTTTTCTGGGGTCCAGCGTTTTCAGGGTTGAAGGTTTTAGCGCTTAAGGGCTTTTGGGGTTCTTAAGTTTCAGCATGTGCGATGTTGGGTGTCTACGGTATAGTCTTTGGAATTTCGCGCTTTCATGGTTTAGGGTGTCAGAGTTTTGTTTTGTGCGTTTTACGGTTGGGGGTGTAAAACGTGTTTTTACAACTCTCAAGGTTCAGGGCATCTAGGTTCCTAAGGTTTAAGTTTGAGCTTGAGGCTCTAGGGGCTTTAAGGTTTTAGGGTTTCTGGCTTCTACAGCTCCAAGGATTTTAGGGTCAGGGGTTTTCCACGGTTGGCGCTTAGGGTTTTAGGGTTTGGGGTTGCGGGGCTCAGGTTTTCGTTTCTTTGCCGGGTGCTTGGGGCGTGTAATCTTCCCAGGCCTTTAGGGTTTGTAGGCTTCAGTGTTTTTCTTGGCAGGCCTGCTTCCGTCTGCAAATGTTTTACACGCGGTCCTTTGGCCTCGCGAGTCGCTGGAAGTTGTCTTTGAACTTGGGCGAGTTGCCAACGCTAGAAAAATTCCGAGTTCAATCCGTCTGCAAATAGAATGCCTTTACAGGCGGGACCAGTAGGTTCCCTCAGTTGTCCATAGTACACACAACCCATCCTTTGCACCTACGGCAAAGACATAAGCCAACCCGCAGACGAGCAGGGAGTCCCTCGCCCCAACTTCCAGCAAGAGCCAGATACTACACAGACAAACTCACAAACATTACTCAATCAGTTGTCAAGTTCACAACGAGCATGTGCCACATTCAACACACGCAAGCCCCAATGAAGGCCATAGAAAACAGGCGCAGAAGACCTACCAGCAATTCACAACGCACAGCAGCGATCCAACAATCTACCTTGCCTTAGACAGCCGTCCTAGCGCAGTGGATCTGGACGCAGGAAGTCAAGAGAGCTCGCTTCGCGCCTTCACACGTGCCCTTTTCACGACCTTGGTCTTCTCCCTGCGCACCATCATGTATCGTCGTCTGCGCAGCTTCCATTCCATCTTGCTCAGGATGATCGCGGTCGATCAAGCCCTTGCCCTTCTTCAACCACATGCAACTGCTGTGCTGCATCAATGCCATCATGTCTGAGTGATGGAACCTTTGCCCTGCTACCCCCACATGTTCTGGATGATCTCGCCCTAGCCTGCTTCACCTGCATGCTGAGGTTCTTGCACCAATCCCTGCTCCTCCGCATTTGGGCCACTTCCAGACTTGAAGCAGTCTCTTCACAGCCCTCGAAGCCTACATCGTTGTTTAGCTGCGCTTCACAACCCTGAGATGTCATAGCACTCACATCGACCTTGGACATGGCAGCAGTACAACCCCTCAGACCGTGCTCCACACCCTTTTGCCCTCCTCCTTCTTTGGTCTTCGCAATGCTTGGGCCCCTGTCCACAACCTCATCGCTTTCTTCGTCCCATCGTACTCCGAGCGCATTGACCCCCGTTTGTTGAAAGATTCGGGGGATATCCATCCCGATGCCCATGCCTCCCACCTAGCCTGGTTCATGGCAAGTTCCGGTTGACCAAACAGGGCCGCGTCCAGCAGTATTTCCTCCTCTTCGAATTCGTTAATGTCGTCATCGTCGCTCTGATCTCCACCTAGGAGTCCCCGACCCTCATTCATCCCGATAGCGTCGGTGTCCTTCTCGTGCTGGCTCGTGTTCGACCCCTGCTCGGACCGTTGTCTTCTTGCAAAACACTCCAGCAGCCCTTGCCCGCATCTTTTGATAACGAGGTCCTCTTCAATCGCTCCGTGGGTCTAGAGGTGAAAGTAGGGTTTTTTACGGCTTACGGCTTTTCAAGGTCCAGTGTTTTCAGGATATACGAGTAGGATTTTGAAGGGCTAAGGGCTTTTGGAGTTCAGGATTCTTAGGGCTTCCAGCATTTGGGGTTTAGGGTGTCCAGGGTAAAAAGGCTTTTGGAGTGTTGCATCTTTTTATGGTTTCAGGGCTTTAGTTGTTTAAACGGTTTAGGGTGCTTAGTGTTTTCAACGTTCTTAGTGCTTAGGGTGTTCAGGGTTCCTAGAATTTTGGGGTTTGGAGTTTTTAGGCTTTACGGATTTCACAGTTTAGGGTTGCTAGGCTTTAGGGGCTTTAGGGTTTTAAGGCTTAAAAGGTTTTTTGGGTTTTACGCTTTTAGGGTTTCACGGCTCACCACATCATGAGGATGCGCTGCCCCCTGCCTGACCCACAAACTGGCCATCATGAGCATACGGGACCTGCTTGCTCACTCGCACGATGCACCCTGGTCATGGTCCAAAAAAAAAAGAAAAAAAAACGAACCCAGGCCACAGCATACACTCTCCTGCTGATCTGCAAGGCTGGCCCTCAAACGAGAGCTTTAGGAGGGAGCTTCCGTAATTTACGCATTGGCTCCAGACATGCAACCTGCGATCCTGCAAGTATGTTTTTGGCGAGGTTGCTCTGCAAAGCTTTCTTGTGCAGCTGCGTTGCCTGACCCCTTACTGTTCCAGAACCTTTTGGTGCTAAGTGACCTTTCCACCAAGGATACTTTCATGCTGCTGCAAAAACCCTATGTGAAACAACACGGGCACACTGGCCAAGTGCTTCCAAAAGCTCAGCTTTGGACAATGTAGCCCAAAAAAATCAGAGTCACCACTTGGTCCTTTGCTTTACGCCAAGGCTGCGAGGAGGCTGCGAGGCCAGGAAGCACTCCCTGCCTTCCCTGGACGGAACCATTCAACATCTATGGAGTAGCCATCGATCAGGAGAAAAAAGAGGACCTGCATTCAACATGCACCCAGGATGACCTGTTGGCGAAACACTGAGTCGATTGCCAGAAACGAGCCAGGAATAGTCACAAAGTTCTTGTCACTTGTGCCCAGGCCAAGCCTTGGACTGCTTTACCGAAACAGCCTCTGCTGTCATCTGCACTCTGCAGAGTCGGACGTGTGTTGATGAATGCTGCAATGGAAACTTTGACGACAAGCTTCGAAAAAGCCACCGCAAATCCAAAGAAAACCACCAGAAGCAAAGCCGCAAAGATGATCAGCCTTGTCAGGAAAGTTGCCTGTTTGCCTAACAAACAGCAAAGAAAGTCTGCACGAGATGAACAAAAATGCACACATCGGCTTGTGACGTTTTGCGGACTCACAAGCCCAGCTTTTTGCCAGTGCCTGTGCGCGCAAGCCTCCAGGATGCGCACCAGCAAGCGAAAGTAGCTGCTCATGCAAAGGTACTTGAACCTGAGATTACAGTAAACTGCCATCCAACTACAGGAGACCTGCAAGTAAAATGGCAACCACTGCCATAGCCGAACATGTCTTCTAAGCCACAATTTCACCCAGCACGTGATTGACAGCAGCGCGAGGAGGTTGTTGCCTTGCAGCCAACTCCGTTTACACAAAAGGCTTCTCTTCATTCCGGACAATTGCAGCCAAGGCGAGTACCCAGCACCAAAGGCTCCATCAGCTGCCCAAAAGGCCTCAGACGAATGCACCCAGCGCACTACAAGTGTGGCAAGATCCCATAAAACGTTCGGCACTGAAACGCCGTAGGTGCGCCCTGCACTTTTACACATTCATGTTGACCCTGCATTCTTGCTATTCACATCTGTCATGCCAGCGATAAAGTGGTTCGAGGCCAAGCCTGCCGCACTTTGGCATATAGATATATATGTATATATATATATATGTCTATCAATATATGGACACATCCATGATCCACCGACCCCCTGAAAACACTGTAATTACCGATAACAACAAGCATTTTCGCATGATCGGATTTGGACACGCCCCAGTTTTGGATTGGATTTTAGTAAACTGTGTATTCTGATCCATATACTCTGCTAATAAACAGTATTTAATGAAATTGAATACAAAAATCCTCGAAACTAGGATTCCCGGCTTTCGATTGGATTCTGGTCCATATAAAGTCCTTATTAAAACTTTTTGAATTCACTATGAGAATCCTTGAGCATATATATATATATGTATATGTCTATATGATCTTAGTCGGTTTACAAAATGGTCCCATTCCAGAACACTCTCCCAACTAATCACACTTTCATGTACTGCTTTCCATTTGGGTCTACAGAATCAGGGTATCAAATTCCAAAAAATACTCCCCAAAAAAAAACGGGCCACAGCCCTAGAAGTTTCCAGAGATATGGTCTCCAGAAATTTGGTTGTTAGGGTTGCTTTCTGCTTTGGTGCCCAAATTCTCAAAACCCTACCCGCAAACCAGTACCAAAAAAACAGTTCTTGGAATGGGAGACCCATGGTTCTAAAACAGAGCCCTGTGTTCTTAAACAGGTCTTGCTCTTCAAGCCAAACAGATTGATTTCCGTGCGTTTTTCACTGAGCGCAATACGTCAATCAACTTAAATTTGAATTAAGCCAGAACAACCATATTTGACATAGCTACCCATGGTTACAGCGAGACATCAATGCGTAATCCTTCTTTGTAAAGCACTTGCTGACAACTAGTTCCAGTAGTTATCCCTTCTCCCCTTTTACTCGAGTCAAATTACCTTGAATACTGCTGAAAACTCAGCCCAGAAAGCCAAAATCGTGAAGACTACTTTTGACTCAGGGTGGCTACTTACTTTCAGAGGGAGCCAGCTGACCATCGTTCTCATGAATTGGGTTGTGTTCTGAGTCCAAAGACACTCAGGGATGAAAAGCATTTCACAAAGACTAGGGATCTTCTTGAGTTTGCTGTTAGTATAGCTTGTCCCAGGTATCGAATGAAAACCAATTGGAATTGCTGCATGGGTTTCGTCTATTTAGTCGAATTATGCTGGTCTTGCACTTTTTTTGCACGGAACTTATGCAGAAGAATCTAATTCAAGGAATTTCAATTCACAAGCTGGTTACGACTAATTAAGCTCCTAACTAAGTTTCTAGCATTTGCTTTTGGAAGTCTTAACGGGTCTAACTTGCAAATCCGCCGACCTTGGGGGGCGTGTTGGATGGTTGCCGAAGGCGGAGAGGGTGAAAACCCTCTTCCTTTCTCCCTTACAGCCCCAAAACGTGGCGGGGTGGGGGGGGGGTAGGGGTGGTATCCCGGTTCGTTTCCCTCCAGGTCCCCACCT